TTGTTTACTTCCCTGGTTTGCTCTCCGTTCCAAAAGGTTTGTCAGCAGTATATCTTTATCAGCAGACTGGGGGACTGTCCAAGCGCCGTGGGGTGTACTGTGCCTTCCCTCCGGCAAGATACAGTTTCAACTTTTTCAACAAGTTTTATATTGTTCACGGGCCATGGCTCAGCTTATCCGGCCTGTCTGTTTGACCCAGGGTTGAACTGGAGATTAAATGTTAATTAACTCTCTATTTTGGTATCCCAATGCGGCCTGGCTGAACAATTCAAGCCTTTTGGAACAGACAAGGCAGTTTATGAATATTCAATGCGCTGTGCCAGTAAGGGGCAAAGTGGGAATGTCTGAAATCATCTTGAACTTTCAGTCTTTTTTTGCCAGAGAAACCAACCCAGCAGGATAGGAAAATGCTAACCGTTTGACTGGCAGGTTTTTTCAGACATAAACAATTTGATACATAAATAACCTTTGTGGGAACTCCCAACATGCATTGTTTTTAATATAAGGTACCATTTCCTAACCTTGGGGTGTTCAATCCCGAGCTGTGTTACGACTGACAGGGTCCCTATACGCTCCGAGCACGTGATATACGTTGAAGACAAAATGCGTTCAGTTGGAACAATCAGCAACATGTTCGCTCCCTTCAGATTGGAATCTCTGGAATCTTAAGATGGCAGTTTAAGAAGTCCAGTTTTTCAGGGCAGCTTATGGTCGAATGTAACGTATCTTTGAGATCTACATTCTTGGCATTAGGTTCCAAAACACTTTCCTGTATCTTCTTGTGACTTGAAGACCTTGATTAGCAGGTTCAGGTTAGAGTGGAACTTCAGGAAGGAAAGTTGAATAGTCTGACTTTACAATAAACCTTTTGAGATGCTATCATGTCTATTTAAAAAAAATTTTTTTACGAGGTGGCTAATTCGTAATTCGTACTAATTCATCACGACCTCACTCGAACAAATTCGTACGATTTTTGCTAATTCGTACATTTTACGAGTTACCAAATTCGTATGAATTCGTACGAATGACCTACCCCTGACCCCGCCCCTAAACCTACCCATCACGTGGGTTTAGACAAATTCGTACGAGTGAGGTCGTATGAATTAGTACGAATTAGCCACCTTTTAATCACTCGAATTGGTCGTGAGATAGCGTTGACTATACACACACACACACACACACACACACACACGCCCTCTCTGCATTTTTTTTCACATTTGTCAATGAGGATGTGACTTCAGTGCAGATTGTCATCTTTATTTTAAGTCTGGTTAAAATTTCTCATAAAAGATTCTCATCCAGTGTACATTTCCCTCCTGGATTGTTTGCTTTGCATTTGCCCTTGAAGATGTGATGTGTTTAAATGCAGCTGGAACAGACACAAATGATCTCACTGAGGTCAGTATTAGCAAGGACAGCAACTTTTTTTTTTTTTTACAGTGAAGAGTGGACAAGCCAGAAGTCTGACAAATGAATCTATTCCTGGAGCATCTGAACAAATGATTGGAATGTTAGTAATGTGACATAATTTCCTCTCGCAAACACGTTCCTGATTAAACCAAAGAAAGGTGCCTAGAGCAATCTACACTTTTGAGGAGCTCTACAACAGGTTGGCCGTTGATGATTTCAATATCATTTCCATATCAATTTCTCTAAACGGCATGACAGCAGCGACACCTCCACGTCCCTGGCCTGCTTTGAGTCTGATGGATATCAGGTGCGAGGACAGGTGTCGCTTTACATACCTCAGTCAACTCGCTGAGAAAACGCCTGCCTCATTTGTGTGGGGAAACTTGACAACAAACCTCAAGTGTCTGCCAAACTTTTTGTCATATTGGTTTGGAGCACTGCCTAATATGATAATATTGTAACCTAATGATATTATATTAGACAATGTTCAGTGATAGGCTACTGATACATTTCTTCCAAGTGCTGTTAATTTTCCCATCTTTTTTAGAACCCTTTAATCCGAGAGTGTAAACTCGAGTTGAGTGAGTTGATATTGCAGTTACATTATTATTATTATTATTATTTAATTATTATTTGAAGAGTGTAGTTTTTTCGATGTTAAATTATTTGCCTTCTAACTTAATGTAGCTACAGAGACTGAAACCATAGGTTTGTGCAACACTTTGACTCAGTACGGCAACATTTACTCAACCAATGTCGTTCGTTTGGGGGCGTGGCTACCTGTTTTTCCGACCAATAAAACCCTGGGGGAGTGTTGTGGGAAACCTGTGCGTTACGTTAGCAGTTCTTTAGTTATGAGTTATGCTAGTGGAGCAGAAAGCGCACACTTCAGCTTTAATGATTTTTGTTGCGTTTGCAGGAAGTCGGTTCTACTCTTGGCTATGGACACTTTGCTGCTGTAGTGTTTTTAAAAATGTTTTGACCACATCAGTAGGTTGTTGCATCAGTTCAGGCAGGTTTTTTAAGCTACCGTTTCATAGTGTTTCTTTGTCTTTTGCTCGAGCTCATTAGTCCTCTGGCCCTCGTGAAGGAGTGTCAGGTTCTTTTGACTTATAAACAATTCATTATGAGTACTACCATTAGTCACCTGCTGACTGAAGAGAATGTGCAGGCTTTAAAACGATTAAATATCAGTCGAGAAATATTACAAGGACATTTCAGCAGCCACAGATAACAACAACAACAAAAAAAAAACATGTTTCACAGATGAGTGAATGAGGATGAGGTTTTTGAAGAGAGACAGCAGCTGTGGTGCAGCAGTACATGCAGAGACAGAGAGAGACAGAATAAACAACTGTAAGTTTGCACTGCCCCTACATGGTCATAGAGAGACACTGCATTTAAAACTGGTTAAGAGGCAATCATGTCTTAAAATATTAGGGCTGTTAAAAATTACTAATCATGATTAATTGCGTGATTTTCAGTTGCTTTTTTAGGGAAATAATGGGCCTAATTGATGAAACTTGAGCAGCAGGATCAAATATCAATAAATCTATGTGTGCATAACAGGCTTGTGCACAATTCAGAATTGAATTGAGAATCGATTCCTGAATTTCAATTCAATTCTTGAATTTGAATTGATGTCAAAAACATATATATATATATATATACATATTTAGAACAAAATGTATGCAGGGTTGAGGAGTGACTGGTTACATGTAATGAAATGATGTTATTAAATTACAAAATGAATGTAATTGTAGGCCTACTTAGTTGTATTACTGAGGTAAAATGTGTAATTCAATTACTAATGAAATTAAAAGGAAATTGCTTTACATTGATAAAGTAATCCAAACCACATCTATAATGAGTACCTTAACAGTAAGCAATTATACATTTCTAAAGTAACCTTCCTAACACTGAATGTATGTGAGATTCAACACATTCTTTCTGTTGTGTGACTGTATGGAATTTCTGTGAATTGCCATGAATTTAATTCCACTTCCTCTCATTCCAATTCAACTTCCTGTGGGGCGGAGTCAATTCAATTCAAATTCATGAATTAAATGTATATATACACAAATATATTTTTTCCTACCATGGAAGTCAATGGATACCGTCAACTGTTTGATTAGAAAGAGACTCATTGGTTTGGAACATTGACAACAAGGACGAGTCACGACAAAAATTTTTATTTTAGGGTGAACTATTCCTTTAAAAGGAACCCGATTGTGATTTGGTGTCGACGAATGGTCAGCCGTTTTTATGGGAGTAGCAGCTACAAAAATAACCAAGGAAGGTTGGTATTTGGGAAACAAATACAAAATACAAAAAACAACACAATACCATGCAAAAGCAGCTTTATATGAGAACATTACATTTCCACTGTAAACTTCTGAACAAAAACTCAGTGTAGAGTACAGCAATATTACTTTGTTCACTCACAGTCCTGTCAGAGCTGCTTCTGAACATTCTGTAGCATTTATCTGCTACAAAAATCATGTTTTCATGGGTCACACTCAGATATTTACCAATATGAGATTTATTTGAAAGCTGTAAATTGCATTAAGGATGTGTTGGACCTCTGTGACTTCAGGAAGACATGGTTATTTTGACAGGATCGGTGTAGTGTTTGGTTTTGCATCAATTAAAGCATTTTATATCAGTTGTTAATAAAATTAATAAAAGCACTCAGACAATTTCAAATCATGTAACTCGGTACACAATTACAAACCACTCAAGTGCTAAAACACTGTTTCACAAGTTCACATTAACATATAATCAGATAAAGATTATGCCAAATATGATAATTATATGTAAGTGTGAAAATATATGTAACCCCCCAAACAGAGGTACATCTGCTGTATATATACCTCTTATCCTATTAATTGAGCTCCTCCCAAACTTTGCTAATGTAAAATCATAAAATGAATGTGAACATGTGATAAATACAACAGGCAGCATTCAGTACAACTGTATGAACTGTAATAATTTCATAGTAGCTGATGATTGGGCTCTAAAAATCCAATATGTAACAGAAATAGTTTTTATATAGCCAGACACAAATCACAAATTTGATCAAAAACTAAGAATATGCTACATTCAGTTGGCTTTGTTGAAAATACTAATGGCTACAAAACAAGAATATGACTCGCACAAGGCCTGTTACATTAATACACCTTTTATAACCTTTAAGAGTGGCAAGTTATTGTGTATTATGCTTTAAACACGTACAAAAATAACACTAGCCCAGCAGAGCTTAGTGAACCGTTCTCTTGTTTCAAACATTATGCATCTCACAGGCACAGAACAGGATACATGTCACTAACTTGTTTCAGAACACAGACATGCTCCATAAATCTACAAATAAAAATACTGACTCTGTATTTAATAAAAAGCATGGAAACTGTCATGTGTTCAGTATCAGCAATACCAATAAGTTGAGCTTCATTGCTCTTCTGCTTTGAACAAGGCTTTACTGGTTTATCCTAGTCATCAAGGCACACACACACACACACACACACACACCACACACACACCACCCACACACACACCACCCACACACACACCACCCACACACCACCCACACACACACACACACACACACACACACACACACACACACACACACACACCTTGGCAACCAGGTGTTTGTTTAGCAGCTCTAACTTAGGAAGTGCAAACATGTGGTACATGCATGTAAGACCCGAGTCCCTCCATCATGAACGAGCAGTCATGGTGACAAACGGAGAACAGAGTTGAACCAGCGAAGGTTTGGTTTCCACACTGGAAACGGGGAGCAGGGGGAAGATAAGAACACTATTTATGAGTGTTTCATGGTGTATTTGCCTTTCTGGAGCTGAGAGATGTAAAGCTTTGATTTGCTGCCATCCAGACGTTTGTACCAAACCTCGTCTTGATTAACATTGATTATTGTGGCACTGGAGGAAAAAAAAAAAAAATTCAAGCATTAGACATGAAAGACTTACGTAAAGTAAGTTAGTGTAATGTTGCAGATCTTAAAATGATTGACCTATTTGATCTTCAAGCTGTCATTGTGCTTCCCTGTGACCAAATATTCACTTGTTCTGATTAACTTGATTAATGTGTTCATTTTCTAACATGATCTACTGATTATTTGTTATTTTTAATACTTTATAGTGTTTTTGTTACACATATTACACGTTACTATACGAATATCAAGAACTGCGTAATTACAAGTAGCTCGAAAAAGGTAACACTTTTTTAGTGTCCTTCTATAGTAATTACTATAAATTATGCAGAATTACATGCAATTAACCCTAAACCAAACATAATCAAAAGTGTTTATGTAATTACTTAGCAACATACCACTGTAAAGTGTGACTAAATGATAAATTAATTGAATATATAATTTTTTTAATAAAAAAAATGTACATAGTGGAAAACAATCTTAAAATTAGAAAAATTTAATTAGAGGCAATAAAAAGTATTAGGCTAATATAATAATAGTATAAAATAGAATTAATTATAGTATATAATTAATATAATAATATTATATAAGATTTTTTTTAATGAGTCTTATCACAAAGGCTATTTGATGTAAAATACAGTAATATTGTGAACTATTATTACTATTTCAATTTCAATATATTTTTAAATGTCATTTATTCCTGTGATCAAAGCTGCATTTTCAGCATCATTGCTCCAGTCTTCAGTGTCACATGATCCTTCTAATCATTCTAATATGATGATTTGTGTTGCTTATAACTTTTGTAGAAACCTTAATACATTTTTCCCCAGAGTTCTTTGATGAATGGACAGTTTTTTACTGGAATTTGGATTTTTTTTTTAAGGAATTTGTAACATTTTAAAAATCTTTACGGTCACTTGTGATACATTTTAAGGTCTCCTTGAAAAACAAAATCTAATTTCTTCCTTTAAAAAAAAGAGAGCAATTTTAGAGTTAAATCACCCTCAGGGACAGAAACGTTTATGAAATCACTCATATGAGTAAACACACACACACACACACACACACACACACACACACACACACACACACACACACACACACACACACACACACACACACACACACACACACACACACACACACACACACACACACACACACACACACACACACACACACACACACACACACACACACACACACACACACACACACCTGATAGGATATTCGTCCTTCCTGTTGATGCATATGGCCTGACCCCGGCTGTACCATTTGTTGTCATAGAACAGACGTCCATCTTCTGATCGAGCAACATGATGGTGTCTTTCTGGTTTCAGAGGGGCTGATAAACACATACAGTTAATTCACCTCAGAGACCTGAAATGCTTTCCCACGAATCACTTAAAGAGTCTTTACAGTTGATACACGCCGATATAGAGAGAGTGAACTTTCTGTGCGATGCTTTACATGCAAAAACATGCTCAAAATCCTCCTTACCATCTACTTTTACCCTATGAGGACCCATTGAAGCCATAGCCTACAGAAAACAATGTAGTTGATCAATGCTAGAGATCTTCCAATAACTCACTTGCAAAAAAAATAAAACTGATTAAGGCGAAAAATAAAACCTTTCTTATTGCAGTCCAGTCTTCAAGTATATCCAGGTCTTGCAACATGTAAACAATGTATGGTCGTGGGACGGATCAGGAAACTAATGTCTTCTTTTGCATTGCAGAATAAGGCTGCTGCCATAAACAAATACTATAAAAAGACGCACACACGACTACTTTACAAAGGATATCTGACACAGCGACGGGTTTTTTCTTCTTTCCGGGACTGAGAGGATCCTTCTTTTTATTCTTCTTAGACTGCAGACCATCATTCCACAGTTCTGGAGCAAGAACACATCAATGCAGTGAAAAGGTAAAACGTCACATTTAAATTCACAGGTTACACAGTACGGGTTGCAATCTGTACTTTACCTGAAGTTATATCTATACTGTGCCTGTCCTCCTCCAATCGTCTGATCTTCTCTTCCAGTTCGCTCTGAACCGTGTCGAAAAGCAGGAGCTTCTCACTCTGAGGAAAAACATCATGAACGTTGGTAAATTATCTCAGTACGAAATTGAACATAATTTGTTTATATTGGCCCCAATATACTCATGGCGAAGTTCTTTTAAATTCTTTGCTTTGAGGTAAAAAGAAGTTCAAAATTCATGAGCAGCGATTTCCTGTTAGCGAACATCCCAGCGAAGTTTAGATGAATATGTAAATATGTGTTGCTTGCTTTCCTTTCATTAATAAAAAAAAAAAGTGTCAGCGGTGAGAAAACAGAAGTTAAGAAAGCATCTGATGAAATGCTTTACAATTCAGCGCTCGAGTAAAGTCACGTCACATTTATTTATATACCACTTTATACTAAAGTTTGTTTAAAATCAAGCAGCTTTACATTATTAAACATGACAAACAGTGTTAGTGTCTCTAATTAGAATTACAACTTCATTTTCTACTTCAAAGCAGCTCTCCAGGGTGTTCATGTTTTTACTCGTGGACGTCCGACCTCGACGGACTCAACAGAAGAAATAAACTGGAGCTGATTTCCATGTCAAAGAAGGCGGAGCCTCAGAGCCACGCCTACCAATGACATCATTGCCACGGACCAATGGTAGTTCGAAGGAGTTTACCAGCAGGAGCGAATCTTTCCGGAACTCCCGAAACGAACAGAAAACGAACTTAATTTTTGCCTGATTTTGTTTGAATGATCACACTAGTTCGTTCTTCGATTTCTCATGAAGGATATCGGGGCCTTTAGGGTGCGAGTATATTAGTAGCAGGGCTGTCTTCAAAGGGAGGATAACTGGGAATGTTGTAGTGGTGTAGCCTACTCTTTGGACCCGTTTAAACTTGGTATTGTGCGTTTTCATATCAGATCACAAGTGGATGACGTTAAACACAGGTGTAAACGTGCTCTAAAACGTTTTGATTTGGATTGCTTAGTGTAGACACTCATATGGTCGAATGCGTTTGAACAGCCACAAAAGACCGCCTGCTGACCTAATGCGGAAACATTATGGGAAGCGCACAAGCCAGATGAAAAACGTACCAAGCACAATGTTCTCTCACCATTCCTGATTTCTAACACACACTCTTGTGTTTTTGTGGCTATTCTCAAAAGCTGCGGTTCTCCGTATGTTTTTCCGTTATCTCCGGTCGTGTTCTTATGTAAATTTAGTGAGCTTACTTTTGTCCATTAGATCAAAAGATCTGAAGAAAAAAAAAAACCATACATTTACCCTCCCTTAGACCCTCCCCTTGAAGAAATCAGTACAGAAGGGGTTGAAAGTGGACAAGAGTGGCGGATTGAAACACCAGGTGTAAATGGTCATGTGTCTCCCTCGTCCACTCGTGATCTTATCGACCAAAACACACCGTAATACCAGGTGTAAACCATCGTATTACCAGGAAGAGTGGGGGCCGGGCACCACAAATTTTGTGCAGAACCCTGTGAATTTAAGCCTGCATGTTACCTCCCAGTGCTGGCTGGCTGCTTGCATCTCACAGTCATATTTGTTTCTGACAGATTCCAAGCAGAGCTCACGATAGATACCTGCAAAAATACATATGAGCAAAAGGTGACTAAGGCCATTATAATATAAGCATCAGTAAATCAGACCACAAACTGACAATTGTAGGAAGAGGAAGTAATCAAATTGCTGCTGCGGACCCTTTTATGTGGTCATTTTTAGGGCCACTGTAGCGCACCGCTTTTCACATACACTAACAGAACTTCAAACACTTATATTCTCATCAAGCCAAACAACTTTCACACTCATAGTCATATGTCAGCCCAACAGGAAGTCAGCTATTCTGGTTTTTTTTTAAAAACGCATGCTCTGAAATTTGATAGACTTCTAGGCAATTCATTCGATCGCCACCAAACTCGGTCAGCATGAAGCCAAGACATTGAGGATGCTAAATTGCGGACGGATTTTTGATATATGGAACGGTTTGGCCATGGTGACGCAACAAATTTATCAGCTGTATGTTCATTGTAAGAGGCCGATCACATGGATGTGACACTGACAATGTTATAGCGCCACCAACTGGCAGCCGTAAGTGTCAATTTCAAAGTGCTTTGAAATCACCATCTTATTTTTACCCAATTTGCGAGGCCTTGTCTTTTTCTAAGTTTGAATGAAAAAATAAAGGCAAGAACTAGTTTATTTGTAGTGCACTGACAACAATATATATATAAATATAAAAAAACTTAGGCTTAATACTTCTGGGCTTTTGGGAATTTTGAGCTGCAAATGATAACTTCTCACTCGTTTAAAAAGTGACCTATAACATCCTGAAATTTTATTCATCTAAACTGAAATAATCTCATGGATGCGGCTGTTGTGGTTCATGGTTATAGTGGTACCAGCTGCTGCAGTAAATGTGGAGTCTTCAAACGATTTTGACGCAGTTCTTTTACATTTACCTCCTTCAAATGCACATTGCTTGCAGTGCCGAGGCTTGGGCCCATCATCGCTGCTTGCAGCTATATTTTCTTTTTGAATATGTAATTTTTTTTTATTTAAATTTTTTTTTTAAACAGTACCGTTCAAAGGTTTAGGAACAAAAATAAAATGAACATACTTTTATTCAGCAGGGAGGGACGGATTAATTGGATCAAAAGTGAGAGTAAAGACATTTATAAAGATATTTATTACGTAACAATGCTGTTTTTTATTTTATTCTAATCATCAGAGAATCCAGAAAAAAGTTATCACCGTTTCCACAAAATTTCTTATGATACCCACCCGTTTTCAACATTGATAATAATCTGAAATGTTTCTTGGGCATCAAATCATCATATGAGATCAATTTCTAAAAGATCATGTGACAATGAAGACTGGAGTAATGATGCTGAAAATTCAGCTTTGACATCAGGAAAAAAATTACATTTTACAATATATTCAAATAGAAAACTGTTATTTTATATTGTAATAATATTTCACAACAATACCGTTTTTACAATCAAATAAATGCTGCCTTGGTGAGCGAGACTTCTTAAAACAATTTTTAAAAATCCTATCAACCCCAAACTTGTGTTTTGAAGGATGAAGAAGTAGATGAAAAATGTAGATGGAAAATACCGATACGTAGTCCTTTATTTTTTAAATGACTTTAAAATGAATATGGTAATTATAGGCCAGGCTTTAAATGCAGTACTCCTGACCTGAAATAGGTTAAAGACCTTTGCTTTACAGTATAATTTATCAAACATTGGCGTGATGATTGTAATCCCTGTAAACTACATCAGCTGTATCATGATTGTATATATAACGTTAATCCTAGCATTGACTGACCAGCGACTTTGGTTCGGATCTGCATGTTCTCCTGCAGGGTGGCCAGGGGTTCGAGGTATTCTGCAGCACTGCCAGCCATCACTTCTTGCAATTTAAGATCCATCTGACCGAGCCTCTCCTTATACAACCTACAGAGAGTTCAGAACACAACGGCTGGAGTCTTCACCTGGACTGACATATTTTTAGGCTTATATGATGTGTTGCTCATCATCACTTACTGATCCTTCAGGTCTGTGAACTGCTTCTCGAGAGTTGTCATCTCATCTAAACACTCCATTCGCCTTCTTTCACAGTCTTCATCATCCATGTCTGCAAGAAATTAACCATTCCCTTTATCTATAATATGTCTCTTTCTTGCGCACGAAATGATTCGGGTGTTTGTCATGAGGTCTCTGTCTGTAGCGTTACCTGAAGTGTCTCCATCCTCAGAGACGGACGAGCTCACGGACTCCTCTTCGTCGGAGGTGCTGGCCTCTTGTTCTGGATAGTCCACGTCCATTTCTTCGTGGTTATTCTCTTTTCTATCACGTGGATGCACTGGCATCCTATATTCAATCTTTAATACAGTAAACAACCCACTAAGACGAAGACAACACCACCGGGCCAGCGAAGAAAATCCACGTTTCAAACATGGATTCGTGGACGACCAATCAGCAAGCTGCTAGACATGTGATCTCACAGAAGCTGCGAATTCATTGGACAGATTTTGTTTACGCATGACCCGGTGGATGGTGGGATCTGTAGTACTCTATTATGTTTTCATTTTATGCACTTTATTGGAATGATTGTTTTGCATAAATTGCCATCAGTAAACACATGCACACATATAATTTAATAGGGATGGCAGATTTGCATTTTCCGTCAGGTGACAATGATTTATAGATTTAAACATGTTTAAAACAATAACACAGCAAGCATCCTGATGTGAATGTGGCTTAAGGTCGGCATGAAATGAAGTTGCAATAATGTTTTCTTTCCTATTGGGACCCATGTGTGTAGGCGCTGCCAGCAATTTTGGGCCCTATTAAAGAATATGAGGTTGTGCCCCCTACCGCACCCATTCCATTAATCAAATCGAACTCTGGGGGCCCCGAAAGTGCATGGGCCCTTAGAATCGTCCTAACCCTTAGCGTTGCCAAGTGAAGCGGCTTCTCGAACAAGAAAAATTATTGATTTGTTCAATGAATTGATTGGATGATTGTGGTTTGCTACTTGAACTGAGCTTCGTGACGCACTTCCGTTTTGAAATAGTACATCTCACTTATTTCCGGTTATGTATACCCTATATTTTCAATGTAGGTTGCATGTAGATGACCTAAAATGAGTGTCCACAAGAAGATTTAAAAATTTGGACATTTTCATAGGGAGGGATATTCTGATGATTACAGAATTTTCCACAGTCATCGGAACATGAAGTTTTAACTCAACCCAATCAGATCTAAGAAAGCAGCGGCTGTTAACGCGAGTAGTCCATTGGTTGATCTCACATGAGTGACAGGTTGTCCCGCCCTCAAGCCAGTCAACACATCATCAGAGAAGAGATGTCGTTAAAAGCGGAATGGGAAGTTGATTTAGGGAACATGAATGAAAAAAACCCACAAAAATAATGATGTGCACGGATAGATCATTTATAATAAATAGTGTAAAATTCGAAAAAAGAAGATTTATTTTATTTTATTTTGATTTCATGGTGGTTTTCACACCCTGCAGGAAGAAACGTTTGTTTGGAAGAAACTTGACTCTCAACCAACAGAGGGCGCTGTCTGCAAACATATTAAATTCACGTTTATTGACATTCCTTCCATTGAAACAAATGAGACTGAGGGTATATTTCAGTCACCATTAATAGTGCACTGCAGAGTAGACATCATAAACGGCTATTTTACATATCCAATGAAATCCAGAATCACTCACTCATTCAGAATATAGCATTATGGATCCCTCTTTCTTTTCTATTACCTGTTTTCATTATAGCTTAAATATGAGTTGTTGTTTTTTTGTCTCAGAGAAGCCCAACATCATTAAATATTAATTTTGACTAAAAGTTCAAGAAGATGCTACAATTATTTGGCCTCCACAATCCCTGAAACATGTTGAGCAATCAAGTTTTATTTGTTAGATCAGTTGCCTATTTGCAATTGATGAAATGAATCCTGAAAGTGCATCTTTTAAAAGCTATCGAATAGATGCATTTTTGCATCATTTAAAAACATTAAAAAAATACATCTCAAAAGATTGTTCGTTTGAAGACTTCAACATCCATCCATCTATACTTTTTGGGAAAAAATGTCTTCCCAAAGTGCTTCATCTTCAGGTAAGAAAAATGAAATTAAAGATAGAGGTCTGAAGTCGATAACGCATAAATGTATTATAAATATAATATGTTTCATTTTATAATAAGTTGCTTGATTTGAATACATGTAAAGAGCCATTTTGACTCCAAGGCCTACCAGTATCCAACACAATTATTCAAAGGCAGTCGGCTATGAATTTTTTTCTGGTATTTCTGCTATATATATATATATATATATATATATATATATTAAAGGTTCTCTAAGCGATCCTGGGTGACGTCACTTCTTGTTGACGTTCGAACTATTGTCAAACAAAACGGAGGCTAGCTAGACCCTCCCTCCTCCTCATCCGCACACTAACCCCCCAAACCACACCCCCAAACCCTTCTTGTCGGTCATTGGCTGGAACAGTTTGTTATGTTTTGGGGAGCGGGTCGCTGCAGTTTGTTTTTGGTGCTGTTTGTGAAGCATGGGCTGTCAACAGAGATCGCGTTTCTTTACAGTGTGTTCAGGGGACAGGCAGCCAGCGGATAGTGAGGAGATGTTTGCTGTATGTGACAAAAAATCTTTTGGCCTAAAAAACACATGACATCGCTTAGAGCACCTTTAAATGGCTCCATGGATGAGAAGCACTGATCTAATGTTAAAGATTTATTGGCAATTCTGGTTGTTCCCAGTAGTTGTCACTGGCGTCCCGCTTTACACTGAAGTAAACTGTAGCAAATATCACCTGTCCAGCCATCAGACTGATTCGAGGGCTTCATGCTCACCTGTCATATTTATGATGAATAACTCAAGCTCTTATATGTATGTAATCTCAGGTAAGACCTAAGAACTGTAGCTGCTATACAGCATTCAGTTACTGTCCTTCAGTCCCTTCATACATCATGCTGTACATGCATGATTGTTTATATATTGTTGTTTTCCTCAGGCGGATGCTGCTCTCTTGAGCCTAAGCATCAACCTGTGCCCGAACTGGTTTTCTCATTAGAGAGTGAGAGCGAGTCGATGTGAGCACAAATGCATCAAGCATCCTATAATGTGTATAATGTACTTTTGTGTGTCGAACTTGGTGAACTGATGTTAATAACATGTCAATGCATCTTCAGCAGCGCAGAGGAGAGTGTTCTCAGCAGAGGCATCTTCAGTTGCTGCAAACCCCAAAGAAACAGAGAGTAGAGCGGACAAACAGCCTGAGACGCAGTGTTTGAAATTCACCTGGATATATCTGTACATGAATATATTAAAAGTCGAAATTGAACACGTTTTACCTTGCCGACTGCAGATGTTTTTGCAGCAACTGAGTGATAACCCACATTAAATAATATTTACGTTAGGCACCTGCAGGTGTCATGGAGGGAAATATAAAATATAGTCTAAATATCTAAAATAATATTTTATAAAATAAATGTTAACTGAAATCAAATAAAATATAATTTGCCAAGCCAACATTTCTGCAAAAATGAATAAAAGCTATATATATATATATATATATATATATATATATATATATCCTACTGGTACCTGTTCAGTAGGATGGACGCTGTAAGGACGCGCCCTGTTTAACTGTCGGCAGTCTGTATTGTATGTGCGCCTCGAACACCACATGTATACGGCGCCGGGTTATTTCTGTTTGATGCTCATTTTATCAGAATTTTATCAGATCTGTTTTTAGCCGTAAAGCTTTCGTTACCTCGCGAGACCTGATATCACACGATACTTCCTAACACTGAGGCCGGTGGCTCGCCAGCCCAAAGTTGCAAGGGTGGTTTTGCGGCTCACAGGCACCAGGGGGGTGCGAGACGACCACCATTCAACACAAAATCAGTAATATAAACATTACAATGACTCCAAAGCTGTTCAGTTAAGGTAAAAAAGTTACTTAGTTCACCTTTAAAGCCTCCCTGTGTTGCAAATCAAGCTTTTAATGTTGTTTATATCACTAGGGTAGCCAGAAAAGAGTCTCTGGGTGTGCATAAGAAAAACTGGGTGTGCCACATTTATTGTCAGATTAATGTGCAATAAACCCAGACTTTGCCTATCTCTAACTTTACAGAATAGAATGGGCTGATGTGTAAAACTATAGGCTACTCAGCGCCAAATAACCATAATACTATATAAAATATAACTCAGGGCTCGACATAAAGCCTCTTCATGTGCTTGTCCTTCGAACAAGTAAATCGGTCACTTGTCCAAGTAAGAAAATTACTAAAAATGCAATAATAAAGCAATATTCTCATCAGTGTTGAGTCAACTTTGACATATTTAAATCTGCATATTTATGATATTTTAACTTTTATAAAGAGCATTTTTCCTTAATCGTTTTAAATATAGCCTATGCTTCATCTTTCATTTTAAATTCTTAAATTTGATCAATAAATTAAATTAAAATAATAAGACACTGGCTGCTACCAATCAAATTAAATAATTTACAGTGAAAAATTACAATGGCATTAAATAATGTTATGAGATTGTTTTAAATGTTTTTTTGAATATACAAATATGAAATATTGGAAAGAATGATACTTTTAAACACAAAACTAAACCACCAATAGGTGGCGGCAGATCGCCGTCTTACTGAGTGAGTCGTTGAGCCATTTATTCAAACGATTCTTTCAAAACGCTGAATTGTTTAAGAATGAGGCATTTGTTTAATGGGCCATTGAATCTTTGACTCAACCGATTCATTCAAAACGCTGAATCATGATTCAGTAATGCGGTTATTAGTGATGGGCGATACTGCAAATTTCTGTATCGATCCGATACCAAGTAAATACAGGGCCAGTATCGCCGATATCGATACCGATACCGATACTTTTTCATTTTAAAAGCATGCATTTGAACTTGTATGCACTTTCCTGTGCTAGAGCAGTGTGTCATGATTTATGAGGTGAATGCATCATTAATATGCTAAATCTGAACACGTTTTCATGACTACTAGTCCTATTTTGTGATTTGTGCTCTCAACTCCCCTTTAATTAGTCAGTGACTTTTACAAAACTACCCTAATTATAGTACTAGCCTACTAGTACTAGCCTACTGTTCAAAAGTTTGGGGTCTGTAAGATTTTTATTTCTCTTAGTAAAAACTGTAATATTACAATTTAACATAGGCTATCTGTTTTCTATGCCATAGTAAACTGTAATTTATTCATGTGATCAAGGCTGAATTTTTGGCATCATTACTCCAGTCATGATGATAATTCATTTTAATATGCTGATTTGCTGCTCAGGAAACATTTCTTATTATTATCAATGTTGAAAACAGTTTCATATTTTGTCGGAAACTATGAAAACATTTTATGCAGAATTATTTGATGAACAAAGTTGAAAGAACAGCATTTATATGAAGTAGATTTTT